CCGGTCACGAAAAAAGACAAAAAGGAAAAAAAAATAAATTAAAAAAAAAATGTGAAATTATGACTCTCAGACAAATATAAAATGAACATGTTTTGATGATTTTCTAAAGAATATATATTACACACACACACACACACACACACAGACACATATATATGCAAGAATGAAGAAATAAATTTGCTAATAAATGTAAAACTGTTTAATATCCTATAGGGCAACAAAATTAGTGTTTGAAATCATCTCTTCTGTCTACAGTGTGACCATCAATTGTATCACTACAAACAAATCAATTTGCATTTCAATGAACAAGATTAATTTGTATTACTATTATTTTCTGCAACTTACAGTGTTGTAATATAGCTTAGCAAAGAATATCTAAAGCATACATCACTACAAAACCAGATAATCCTAGAGGATCCTTTATATAACACCCAGAACTCCATTGAAAGAATATCCAGTGATCTCTTTTGCCCGTTTCACAGTATTTCACAGTTTTTTTCTAAAACTACAAAAGCAATATTTCAGTTCTAGTAACCACTTCCCTGTCATGTTATATAAACAGTGATAAGAAAGAATATTTTCATTCAGTTACATTGTTTCAATATTTCCCTGTAAGTAGAAGTCATTTTTGTTTTCACAACTTATACTGCTTTAAAGTTACTAAATAACTGAGTCATTATAGGGAGCTGAGAGGGTTATTATTAACAAGTAATACATCCCAGGACTTTGGCAAGAGCACCTGGAGTGTATTGGCAGCCTGTAGACATTGCACTAATTCAGGGATGGTACCTTGACGGCACGAATCTCCTCGCAGACATACGTGTAACCACACCTGCGATGAACTGAACGGTTCTCCATAACATACATTGTTGTTCAGAGCCTATGAAGGCAAGGCACAGTGCTGGGTGCTATGTGTTGACCTTACAGGAAGATGTTACTTCCCGTGAGTTAGCCAGGTAACCTTTCTGTTTAAAAGCAAGAGAAATTCAGGATCAAAATCAGTAGTATTTTACAGTGACTCTGGATAAGTAAAATAAATATATATGCCCTAGCAACTAGTTCTCCAGAATATTTTTCTGCCTAATTCATCAAAGTCAAGTTCTCAAAGACTAAAGTTCTCAAAAGTACCTTCTAATGAGATTCAGAAACTGTTTATTAAATGTAAGATGTATACAAAGCTTCGTATTTGCATTGCTAATTGACCTCTTTCAAAGCTGGTTGACATTTCGGGCTCCTTTGAAAAGTCCTTATGATATCTTCTTTTTAAAGTAGGATTGATTAGCCCTTGTGGGAAGAGACACACTTACCCTGATATAGTCGAGTTTCTCCATAGGAGCTACAGCACTCACAACAGGGAAAAATTCAATTCATGTCATATTTCCTGAATATTTATTATGTATCTGATACCATGCACATACACAGTGAGTCAAAGGACCTAAGCAGCACTCGTAAAATCTTTTTTAACATCAGTCCCTTCAAATCCCTGGATTTTGTCTTGCAATGAAGATGTATCTGATACCATGCACATACACAGTGAGTCAAAGGACCTAAGCAACACTCGTAAAATCTTTTTTAACATCAGTCCCTTCAAATCCCTGGATTTTGTCTTGCAATGAAGTTTTGCTTAGCTTCTAACAATTTGTTCTGCCTATCATAGGGATTCTCTAACATGTACATCTTTGTTGCTATACAAGAGCCACGCTCTGAATTCACATGCAGTTACCATTGAGTGCTATATATACAAACCTCCTGCACAGCATTTGGCTTGTACTCTAGGAGGCTATTAATTATCAGATAGGGAGCAGCAAGTCTTGGCAGGGCAACTGGAGTTCAGCTCTGAAAGCCAACAGAGAAATCACAGGAGTGCTTAGGTACTAGAGAGCTGTCCTTGGTTTCCTGGCCTTTATAGAGATGCAATTTTCCTGTGGCCTTTGTTGATTTATTTGCAAAGCAGCAGCAAATCTAGCTATAGCGAGTTCCTTTCCAGCCCTAAATTTATCTCCACCCCATGGCATGGATCTTATCTCACCAGTGAAAACTGTGTAGAAATGGAAGCTGTATAGCCATGCGTGTTGCAATACTCTCCAGCAGGAGCTTTCTACTGGAGAAAGTGATTCCTGAATAATGCAGCACAATTAAGCATTTGTAGCTGCTCCAGCCTGAGGACCTAATTAGCTTGGCATTGACTATGTATATGAACTTTTCAACAAAGTTTGCTTGAGTGAAATGAACAAGATGGACAGCTGTGGCTGTTACTTTTCTCTCTCTAGACACAGCAGATTACCCTCAACAGTCTGTGGGAATGAGAAGACAAATCTCACTTGCTACAATGGAGGCAACTGCACAGAGTTCCAGGATGAATTAAAATGCACGTGCCAGCCAGGTTTTACTGGAGAACGGTGAGTCACAGTAGAACTTTACGGAAGAGAATTCTGAGTTAAAGAACGATAGGATTACTCGAAGTTCGTTTTCTCCTGTAATTTTTCATATCAGTTCCCACAGGAAAATCTCTGCTGAAGTACAGGTCTAGATAGAGTCAAACAATAAAAAAGAAGAAAAATTAGTTTAGGTCAAGATAGAGAACATTTTATTATCCAAGACTTCAAATAGAGAAATATGTTTTTGGAAAACATAGAATGTGTTATTTTCTTTCTTGTAAATACTTCTGGGTTCATGTTTTTCCCCACTAATCAATGCATGATGCAAATGTGGTTGCTGTCCAAGTTAAAATATAATACACCTGAAAGATTGCCTCATAGAATTACCTACAACTCAAAAAGCGTATGTACCTTATCCATATGGTTCTACCCTTCCCAGAGAAACTTTTCAACTCTTCTTCCTCTAATGCAGGGATTGTTAATATGGAGTCGGTCAACTTCCTACATTGAACAAATTCAGTAAATTAAAGTCAGACACATTTGGCAAAAAGATTTTAACTCAATTAATTTTTCCCATATGGTAGTTGATAAAATAATGGATATTTTTGTGCTCCATGACAATTACCCTTTGGATTAACTTGGATCTTCTATTTTTCATCTGGCTCTTTTGGCATCACAGTGATACAGCTCTTTTGCCATTTTTACAAAGCAGCAGGAAATCTAGGGCATACCTGCCTTTTATCCTTCTAATGTTCAAGGACAAGTCTAGTCCTTGCTTTCACAGCCTGCCTTCTGTGGTTGGCTCCAAGTGGCACAGGCAGTCCACGTACACATGTGCATAGAAAGAGATAGACTTAAGTCACATTCTACTTTTCATTGTGCCAATTTGTGTGATGCAGCATGCTACTCAGAGACTTTTCAGCTGGCCTCCAATTCCATATCTTCAAAGGTTGTAAATATTTTCTTGTTCTAAATTTTGAATAACTTCTTAACCATCTAAGTGCTGCCTGGCTTAATGGCAGTTTCTGCTCAATGGTACAATGCATAGAGCTCGTCCAAAGCCTTGGGTTATTTTTTCTCTGCTATTTATGCATTGTTCCTATTTACAGCACATGTTTCTCTCTCTTCTAGTACTTATTTTAAAAATTCATATCTGGCATTTATATTTAAATTATTGATTTGAAAACATGAAAAGACAAGTACCCTCAGTGTTTTGCTTCTTCTCCTTGGAGAATTATCTGGATAAACTTCTCTGGTGCAAAATGATTCCTGAAACAGTAAACCTGTGCTCAGTAGATTATGTACTTTCAAAGTCCTTAACCAGCATCATGAGTTAATTCTATGGATGCTAATGGATTTATTCCAACTTTCCATCTATATATTAACGCAAGTACCCTCAGCGTTTTGCTTCTTCTCCTTGGAGAATTATCTGGATAAACTTCTCTGGTGCAAGATGATTCCTGAAACAGTAAACCTGTGCTCAGTAGATTATGTACTTTCAAAGTCCTTAACCATCATCATGAGTTAATTCTATGGATGCTAATGGATTTATTCCAACTTTCCATCTATATATTAACCTCTGACGACAGCTCCAATGATGCTTATAATGCATGTTTATGTGTTGTTCATTGTTTAGTTCCAAAGAGAAACAGGTAAGAAAGTGAGAAAGAGTAGCTACAAGAAAGCTAGGAAATATCTGGCAATCTCCCAAGGCCTAGGGAAATGAGACTTCCACAATGTTCAAGGATATTGAAAAGCTGTCCTCTAATAAATTGACTTCTCTGCTGCCTGGTTAAACCTCTAACTTTATAGTGTCACCCTGGCAGGTTGTGAATGACGGATGGTGTGAACTCTGGCCCACCCAGGACACAGTGTGCTTGGCAAGCTCCCGAAAGTTGTCAAGTTTTGCTCAGATCTAATCAGAGAAGTCTCCTTCCAGCCCAGGAGCCTAAGCCAAAAAAGAAAAACAAAACGTCTCAGCTATGTTTGGCATCCAATGGGATAAGGAGCTGTTTTTCTTGGAAGAAACCTCCTTTTTCCTTTATATCTTGGGTTGACTCTGCCGCACTACCTCAGTCCCTTTCATTTTGAGCCTAGTGATTAGTCTCTGAGACATAAGCAAAAGCAAGTTTTGCTTTTTGGGAGGTGGGGGAAAGAGTAAGGGGAAATTAAAAATTGCTAACATCAAACTTCAACGTTATAAGCTGTGTGGTAGAGATTCTTGAAACTAAGATTTTATATGAATTTTCCAAAGTAAACTAGATGCCTTAGTTACCGCTTTATCCCAAGGTGTTAGCAGAGTGTTTGGTACATGGTTAAATGTTAAATAAATATGAGGGGGTCTTCAAAAAGTTCATGGAAAGATTCTTATTATCTTTTAATACATTTTTCCATGAACTCTTTGAAATACCTTCATATCTGCTGAATGACTAAATGAGTAATTAGTGAATTAATCAATGAATCTACAGAAAAACAAGTTGTCGGTAAAACATTAGGTGAAAAATGACGGTGAACCAGGGAACAGGAAAACTTCAATTTACCTTAGAATAGATGTTACTTGTTTGGAAAATTTGACTTTTTAAAGTCATTTTAGTGGAGCATTCAGAAATTATGCTTAGCTATTGGAACACAGATTTATTAACAAGTAAAATCCTATTATATACCTTTGCTTTTGTTAAAAAATGTGATTCCAAAGAAAAATAATTCAGAATCTCCCAGATAAACCTTTTTTCCTTTCTTTTTTTTTTTGTCTCTGGTAGACTTTACCCTTAGTTCAAGGACAAAGATGCATGAGAATCCTGAGTGTGAGTGTAGGTTTGCTCTGCAAACTTCAGGTTGCAAAATACTTTTTTTTTTTGTCTCTGGTAGACTTTACCCTTAGTCCAAGGACACAGATGCATGAGAATCCTGAGTGTGAGTGTAGGTTTGCTCTGCAAACTTCAGGTTGCAAAATACAGCCTCAGTCTCACGGTTTGTATGTGCCCCTACTAAGCTGAACATTTATAAGGTGGCAAGTCCAAGAAGGTCTTCATGGAGAAACTGGTTTATGCACGGCCCAGTTTTCTCTTGGTTTCCAAATATTTGCACTTCTTTTCTCATTCTAATTAATTCTGTGTGCACGTGTGTGCGCACACATGTGTACAAACTATTTCCATTAAAACCAAAGTTTGTTAGAGGAATTTTGGTTTCCAAATATTTGCACTTCTTTTCTCATTCTAATTAATTCTGTGTGCATGTGTGTGCGCACACATGTGTACAAACTATTTCCATTAAAACCAAAGTTTGTTAGAGGAATTTTAAAGGAACATCTCGCACATTAGCAGATCTGTATAAATTGTGTGTTCTAGGAAGGTAAGACAAATTTTTGCTTTCCCCATTTCACAGCCAATTTATTCAACAGGGTCCTGGGTTTCTGTTGTTTCTGTTTATTTTCAAGGTGTGAAAAGGACATTGATGAGTGTGCCTCTGATCCGTGCTTCCACGGAGGCCTGTGCCAGGACTTGGTCAACAAATTCCAGTGCCTCTGTGATGTCGCCTTTGCGGGCGAGCGCTGCGAGGTGGACGTAAGCGGCCTGTCCTTTTATGTCTCTCTCTTACTCTGGCAGAATCTCTTTCAGCTTCTCTCTTATCTCATTCTGCGCATGAATGACGATCCAGTTGTTGAGTGGGGTGAGCAGGAAGATTATTGACATAGTCTGAACAGCCCCAAATTTATTAAAAGCCATTGAATTTCAAGAAATGTCTTGACTCATTTTAGATCTCTTTGAAAAAAGTAAAGAAAAAGAAAAACCATCTTGAAAATTAAAATAAATTCAATGTCTATTTTAAGCATATCACAAGCACTTCAGGTGTATGTCAAATATTTTCCTATTCCAGCTTTAATAGGAAAAAATATTGTTCTTAATATAACCAGAAATATCTCATTATTAAATTGGTTTAATACAAATAAATTATCATTCACACTTCCATATTTGAATGACCCCTGCCATTATGAAACCATTTTCTCTCCTCTCCATTTTTGTGCATACATCCTTCCATATTTTAAGCTGCTTTTATTCACTATAATTCTATTTTAATTTATAGTCTTTCATTCTCATCTATTATTAATGACACAAAAATTTGAAAATTACTGATCAAATGTACTGATTAAAATTATTGATTATATTCATCTATGTTTTTATACAAAGCCATCCGAATGAATTGTTATCAGTTCTCTGATAAGTGATAACGATAGACAGAGAATGCAGGAAATTGCATCAATTTTTAAAAATGTAGGAAGAATTATCTGGTATCAATATCCGAATTATACCTCACCAGTATAATTTCTGATTCCATAAAACCTTCTCTCTTCCAACAAAACTGCAGATAATTCTTTCTTTACTTCTTTTGTGGAATACTTTCCCTTTTCCTTACAAATAGAATAATTTTTTTTGTTAATTGTTTATACATTTATAAGGTTGTTGACTTCCCTATCAAATGCACTAATTTCAGTTCCTCTTCAATGAATACTAAGTAAAAAATAAGAACTATAGTTTATGCATACACCAAAAAGTATATATTACAAAACTTGAATTTTCTTAGAGGCAGGTTTTTCTAAAATCTGCGAGTAAATTTATCCTCTTCAAGTATTTTTCTGAGAAAAATCATAAAAACATAACACCTATCTTAATTAACATATATTTGTCATTATTATTTTTTTCATTAATGTATACCTGAAATAATGGCTCTATAAAGTAAATTACTAAGATATGCAAAAACTAATATATTCTTAATTATAAAGATTATAGAGATTATAAAAGAGTAATCATAAAGTAGTAAACTTTCTTTGCTAATGTTTTTATTGTTTCCACTGGCATGTTATAACTTATGTTAAATATCTTTGTGTTGATAGACCCTTCCAAAGGAGGCATTATTTGTGTTCATTTAAAGGGAAAATAGTTTGATCCTACGAATTAGTTCAGAACGCAACTAAAATAACAATGGCCTGCCAAATGTCACTTTGTAAACATGTCTACGTCTTTAGGAGCTTCCCTGGTCTGAAAACGTGAGAGTAATTTATTCATTGGATGATACCCAGCGCTCATTTAATCCCAATTGTTTTAAGAAAGTTGTTTTTCTGTGAAAATGACCAAGGTAAACCTAAATATACCATTCAAACAAGGACAAAATAGTACACTATGAAAGCGAAGGAAGTGTATTTAATTTTACTTTGCAAGAGTAATAGAAGGTTTTGTGTAGTAAATTTATCTCCTGTGAAAACCTTGTAGTCATTTCAAATTGGGGGCAACTGATGTCAAAGTCTTTCCTTTATACCCGTGCATTCCCTCACACCCAAGGGTGCACGTGCCATTACTGCTGCTTCAGATGATCAGTCCCAAACTTTGATTTGGTGACATGAGACTTGGAGAAGACCGTCCCCAAAATATTTGCATTCACAAGTATTTGCAATAAGCATAAAACAGATTATAGCCAAAGACCATATGTGCATATACTTTTTTTTTTTTGTCCTTTTTGAGACTGGCCACACCGCACTCAGCCAGTGAGTGCACCGGCGGCCATCCCTAGATAGGATCCGAACCCGCGGCGGGAGCGCTGCTGCGCTCCAGCGCCGCACTCTCCCGAGTGCGCCACGGGCTGGGCCCTGTGCATATACTTTTCACATTAATTCCCTTCTAGACAGATCTGTAATTATGTACTTACAGGCCATTGTAAATGTAGTATGTTCCCTATCAAATATATTTAAGAAATATTCACTCACAATCTCTTTCTTTGTACAATTCTGATGCCTCTGTTGTCACTCTAATCGTCAATTGCTTTTCTGTTTTCCAAATGTTTTGCTGTCATGAGATATCTCACTTTTAAAAAATACTGTCCCTTCTCTCTTTATTCTTCTGTATCTTCGACTGCATTGTGTGTGACAACGGCTTTAACACATTTGCACAGAAAAATAAAACCTTTGATTCTCCATCTTCAATTTCTCATCCTCTGATGATAACCTGTCTTTGTTTGCCTTGACTGTGTCTTGCATCATAAAATGTCCACCAGCCAGGCACACCCATGTGCAAACACACACGCAACCGTGCAAACACACACACCCCATGTAGTGAACAGAGAAGCACTAGTGCCAATCTTCCTGAATTGCGATCTCTTTGGTAAGGTCAAGGTCCCATGTACTTTCCCTCTCTGGCAAATAATCCTCTGGTTGGCATTCTAGAATTGTTCACAACTCTAATTGTTCTTACTGTTGGTTTACTTTGCTCCTGGCAAAGCTAGCCATATTTCAACGTAACTCTGAAGAGAGGCCATCTCTCCTAAGTGACAGATCTTTACACAAACTCCTCTGGACCAAGGTTCTAAAACAAGCCTGCACTTCTTGAATGAAAACTAATTTCACTTTGCTCATTTTTCAGAACTGAACAGAGATATGGCTCTGCTTTTGGCCATGCCTCCTCCTCCTTGGTGTGTGTAAATGGGAAGTGGCTTTTATCAAAACCCCCTTTTTGGAGAACAGGGAAGTGGAGAGAACAGGCAAGTTTGGAGAAATTAGTGTTTTGGTAGCATGCAGAGACAACTAAAGTCAGTTAACACCACTGAACCTACTTCGTGCCAGAGACTATAATAAGCCATTCTTAAATCCATGTTGTTTTCAATTATGTTATCTCAACCCAAGATAAACCAAAATCTCTCGCCTTCTAAACTCTTCACTACATTTTGCTTAAAGACTCTGTTATGAGTTTTAATGTGTTCCAGCTTCATACATTGGAAACTTAATTGCCAATGTTACAGTATTAGGAGGTGGGGCCTTATGGGGTGATCAGGTCATGAGGGCAAAGCCCTCCTAGATGGATTAATGCTGCTATCAGTTGAGTGAGTTAGTCCTCAAGAGTGGGTTATTATAAAAGCGAGCTCTTGCGGTCTCTTTTCATACATGCTCATTTGCACTTCTGTCCTTCCACTGTGTCCTGACACAGCACAAAGGCCCTCAGCAGATGCCAGTGCCCTGCTCTTGGGTTTCCCAGCCTCCAGAACCATGAGCCTAATAAACTTTTACTTTTTATCAATTACCCGGTGTGGGCTATTCTGTTCTAGCAACAGAAAATAGACCGAGATTCTTTTGCCATTTCAGTATTTTAAAATAGAAGTTATTCAGCTGTAATTTTGCAAAATTAAAATGAAGCTTTTTCTGGAAATGGCGCTACATAAAATTTGAGTTTAGCGATTTAGGTAGAAACCAGTGAAGAAAAGAAATAAATGTTTTCCAATTGCCAGTGCTGCTAAGACAAACTATTTTACTTCTCTGCTTTACTTTTTTTATTTATTCAACAAATGCTAAATGAATACTACTATGTGCCATACCCTATATGAGGTCCTGGGAATACAACTACGAGTTAGACACAATGCTTGCTCACAACAAGCTGAAGGTCTCATAGAGGGTGTAGGTAAACAAAAGAGAAGGGCAGTTCTTGGGTCAGTGTCAGGATGAAACTAAGTGCCAGCTGTAGGGGGAACATAGGAGGGGCATTTTTCCCAGTTTCAAAGGTGAATGTGGAAGGTCAAAGAAAGTTTCCCAAAGCCTAAGCTGAGATTGAAAGATTAGCAGGAGCTAGCCTATGGAAGGAGAGATGGAACAGAAGAGAGTGTTTAGGCAGAAGGGCTGCAGAGGTTGTGCAGTGTGGCTGGAGCACGGTGCGGAGTGGAAGCATGTTAAGATTGAGCTATAGAAGTCAGCAGAAGGGAGTTCTTATAAGCCTTGGCAGAGACCTTGGCTTTTCATCCTAAGAGCAATCGAGAGTCTGTGAAGGGTTTCAAACAGAAAAGTGGCGTGATCACACTTGCACTTTAGAAAGATCACTTGGACTCCTGTATAGAAGATAGATTTTTAAAAAGGCAAAACTGGAAGACTGAGCCCAGAAAGACACAAATAGGAGGCTGTTGCAGCGATACAGACAAAAGGAAAGGAGATTTCGCACTACGTTATATAGTTGCCGAGTACGAAGAGGAGGGGATAGATTAATTAAGTCTGAAGCAGTAAAACCTCATGATTGTTTGGGAGAAGGTATAGGTCTGAGGGGGTGAAAAGTTAAATTTGGTGAATATTAGTTTTTGAAAAAAATACTTGTTGATTGAATAAGTGAATGAGTGTAAAGATTTTTTGGAATATTTAAGTACAGTTAGTCATTAACCAGTGTGTATGTCCCAGTCTGGAGTTCAAGAGATATTACCTAGACTGGGCGTATAAATTTGGGTTGCATATTAAACATATGTTGAATTTTGTATTCCATTCTCCATATATGTAACCATTTGTGTTATTTACCTATTGCTCTGTAACAATATTACCTCAAACTTAGTAACTTAACACACATTTATTATATCACTGTTTCTATGGATCAAGAATTCAGGCATAGTTTAACTGAGTCTTCTGCTTAGGGTCTCCCAAGGTAGCAATCAAGTTGTCATCCAGGGATGTGGTCTCATCTGAGGCTCAACTAGGGAGGAATCTACTTCCAATTTAAGTTGCTGGCAGAGGCAGCCCTCAGCTCCTGGAGGCAGCCCACAGTTTCTTGCCACATGGGGCTCGCCAACTGGCTGCTTACTTCCTCAAAGCCCCAAAGAGGGGAGAGTTTCCAGCAAGATGGACATTATAATCTTATACAGCATAGTCCTGTAACCATGTGCATATAATCATGTATATCCCCTCACCTTTATCATACTCTATTGGTTAGAAGTAATTCATG